ACTTGTCCCTCTATACACCGTCTACATAAATTTATGGACTAAAATTTCGAATTTTACTTGTTAAGTGAAAATTGGAACCAGCTGTAGAAATTCCTTTAGTTTAGGGTTAACCTGACACATATAAAACGGGGGGCCGGGGGGGGGAAGGAGGGGGAAATATATGCAAAAAAGGGGGAAATGTTGATTGGATAAGAGCTTTCAAGCGTTAGTGTATACAATAAATATTGTCAAAGTTAAATGAACTGAAGATTTTTGTAAAATTCTGTTTAAACTGATAATATGAAAGGTGGGGGAATGGGGTTCACAGAAAAAATACATGAATAGAACGGAAGCTCTTGAAAATAAATTCGAGGGATGAAGGATATGAAAGTATGTTATAGGCTCCCCCCCCCCCATCCTAAACTCATTTCTAAAAAAAATCAGTCATTAATTCATATATATAATCTACTCTAGCTAAAACTCCAGTAGCATTCAATCATATATCAATAAATTGTAAAAAAAAATCATTGTTCAACAATTATTATGATTTATATCAACCCCTGTGAAACGAAACGAAATGTATTATGATTGATTCTTTGTTAGGCTTGATTTGAAAATAACAGTGTTAAAAAGATCCAAGCGTGATAAGAATGCAGAAAATCATCTGCAAGAAACCATGGTCTAAGTCTAATAGTCAGGTTCCGAGTTCTCATAAAACCATGCTAGCATATAGTTCTCATAAAACCAATTCATCTTGTCAAGCTAGCATAAAATTCGCATAAAATCAATCTATCTCGTCAAGCATAACATCAAGTCCTCATAAATCAACCAATCTAGCTCGTCAAGCTAGCATGAAACCAATCGATCTCGTCAAGCTAGCATTAAGTTCTCATAAAACCAAACATCAAGTTCTCATAAAATCAATCGTCAAGCTAGCATTACATTCATCTAAAAAACCCACGTTTTCTTAATTCCATCTGACAAATGATTCTATAACATCCTAGTTTCCGATTGTTAAAATACAATGTTCTTAGTATAAAACAATCTTTTGTGTTAATAATCTTAGAAATAGCTGAAGTAATGAATCAAAAGCTCGTTTTCTATACAAAGACAAACAAAAACTCAAATGAAAACGTTGATTNACACATTTGAAAAGTATAAACAAGAAAATAAAATTTCTATAGAATTCATATTAAACATTGATGTGGAATAATGGGGGATAAAGCGGAAACATGTTTGCTTGAGGGCAAATATGCTTCCAAGAAAGGTGGACTCTAGGGGTAACTCGAGATATGTGCAGGAAACGGGAAACAAAATGACAAACGAAAAAAAACAAAATTTGGATGGAAACATCCTCATACATTGACGGGGGGATGGTGGTACACATTAAACGAAGAACATGAGGCAGAATACAAGATGTTCCACGCCACATGAGGATGGAGAGAAGCCTAAAATGTCGCCTTTGATATTTGAAATCTGTCTTATCTGGAGATTTCGGGAGTACGACTTGAAACTTTTCATGTTTTTTGAGAAGCCTCCATTGAAAATGCCTACATTTTATGAATTTTAGCAAGAGTCTAGCTGTATTAACTAATAGTATTAGGTTCATGAAATCATTTATAAGTCAAAACCGAAATCTTTTTAAGGCATCTCTCAGTTGTGATATTAAGTGGACATCTTATATACAAACTATTTCTGATTTAAAAAAGTCATACAACTTAAACCCACAGATTAAACCTTAAATACTGAACAAGACACACCAAGAAACAAAGATGAATTACCATTAAAAATAAAAATGAGTAAGGAGATAAGGAGATAAGGATTAACTGTAAATTGATGAAAAGAGTTGATTTTTAACCCTATATGACCATGGAAGGGAGTGGGATGGGGGGGGGGGGTTTAAAGGTATATGACTAATGGGGACGGGGTGAAAATATTGAAAAGCAAACTCAAAGGTTAAATTAATGTAGGATGGTATAGAGGTATAAAAACAGGAAGCAGGGGGAGGGAGGCGTTGGGGGGGAGGTATTGTTTTGAAAACGTTTATTATTAAAAACATCCCTCATCTATTCAGGGCTAAAAAGCATATTGCACTTCAAGTATACTCCAAAATATTTGTGAAAACCAATTTTTAAATTTAAATCAACAAAACATCAGATGTTTAAATGATACAGAATGAAGTATATATGGCTGGTGCATGGGTGGAGGGGGGTTGAAAAAGATGGGGCTAGGAGCCTTGAAGCTGGAATGTTTCATTGAAATAAATAGGGACTAAAAAGTTGTTGTTCACTATAAAAAGTGTTGACATGAAGCAGTTCTTGTGCTCTGATAATTCACATCTGGTTCAGTGGAAGATACACACATAGGAGAGTTAACCCCCCCTCTCCAACATGAGAGTTACCCCCCTCTCTCCAACATAGGCGAGTTAACCTACCCCCCTCTCTAACATATAAGGGTAACCCCCCCACTCCAACATATAAGGGTAACCCCCCCACTCCATCATTTAGGGTAACCCCAGTGTCCAACATATAAGGGTAACCCCCCCACTCAAACTAATAAGGGTAACCCCCCTCCCACCTTATAAGGGTAACCCCCCTCTCCAACATATAAGGGTTACCCCCACCCCTCTCCAACATATAAGGGTTACCCCCACTCCTCTTTCCATC